CAGGCAGAAAGTCAGGAGAATAGCCTGGCCATCATGTTGAAACCTCGTCTCTACTAAAACTACAAACAATAGCTGGGCGTGGTGGTGCGTGCCTGTAATCCCAACGATTTGGGAGGCTGAGGCAGGAAAATCACTTGAACCTGGGAGGCAGAGGTTACAGTGAGTCAAGATTGTGCCACTGCCCTCCAGCCAGGGCAACAGAGTGAGACTCGGTCTCAAAAAAAAAAAAAAGGAATAAAATGACAGGATCACATCCTACACCTCCCTCCTTTGAGCTAGGTAATCATCTCTTGACACTGTTTGCTGTTGCCACACAAGTAGCTATAAATTAACCTAATAATGTTGTACTGGACACTCTAACACATACCCTATAGTTTAACAATATATAGTTAGTCAATAGCTTATGTTATTTTAATGTAAATTCTTGGTAAATAACTCAGGAACTGCCTCTTCTTTTCCTATAAAAATCCACTTGTAACTGCTACTAATCAGAGTGTCTATTTAGGGCAACTTGAATCTATGCTCCTGGGTTGCAATCCTCAAGCTTATAATAAACTCTCTACTTGTAGTCATTTTGCCTCAGTTTCTTCCTTATAGGTTGACAGGAGATTTGGGGGCTGTCATTCTGGCTGATGTCCTTAGTCTCATGACATTTTCCTCTTTGCCTTACATCTCATCCCATGGCGACCGCCAGCAAGTCAGTAGCCACGATTTCTCCTACTTTCCACAGTCCAGTCTCATAGGGAAGGTTGGCCCCATTTCTGTGTCCCTCAAATTTGAAGAGTGGTTCTTGCTACATAACTGCTATACACTTTCTCACCATACCACACCTCTCCCCACCCACCCCCAACACCTACAACAGTAAACAGTGCTTAGTATACCTATGATGAATATTTGTGGAATGAATGAGAGAGGACCCTGCCCTCACAGATTTTACATTCTGTTTGGAGAACCAGACAATAACAAATTCACTACACACATAGGAACTCACAGTTTGTGGTAAGGGCTATGAAGGGAAGAAACCTACCAACTGCATCAAGGAGCTACTTCAGACGGACAAATAGGAAGGAGTAATTTAGGTGAGTAGTGATAGTGGCTTGGGCTAGGAAACAGCATCAGAGACAGAGAGAGGTGGTGTACCTTTGGTGGTGGAATTGGTGATTGATTAAATGGGGGTGGAGGGAGAATGAAGGAGAGGAAGAAATGAAGACTTCTAAATTTTGACCTGAGCAACTAGATGAATGTTGGTATCATTTACTGAGATGGGAAAGACTGGAAAGGCATGAATCTAAGCTCCATTTTGAACATGTTAAGTTTAACCATTACAGATCCACATTAATATATCAAATAGGCAATTGGACTAGGCACGGTGGCTCATTCCTGTAATCTCAGCACTTTGGGAAGCTGAGACTAGAGGAGGATCACTTGAGCCCAGGAGTTAAAGAGCAACCTGGGCAACATAGTAAGACCCCATCTCTACAAAAAATTAAAACATTAGTGGGGTGTGGGTGGCACACACTTGTAGTCCTAGTTACTCTGGAGGCTGAGGTGGGAGGATCACTGGAGCCCAGGAGTTTGAGGCTGCAGTGAGCTATGATTGCACCACTGTACTCCAGCCTGGATGACAGGAAAAAAAAATTAAAAAAGGCAATTGGATAGATAGGTTTTAGATTTCAGAAGAGAGAGTTCTGGGGATATAAACTTAGGAGCCTCTGCATATCGATGGTGTTTAAAGCCATGGGATTAGGGGTGGTTTGGAAAAGAGGCTTAGGTCTGAGCTGTGGGGCCTAAGATTTAAAATTCAAGTTGAGAAGGATGAGTCTATAAGGGAGGGCTGAGAAGGAGTAGCCAGAAGGGCCTGAGGAAAACCAGGAGAGTAGGAAATACTGGAAGGCAAGAAAGGAGAGTATTTTGAGATGGAGCAGCTGACAACATTCAGAACCCAACCAATGGCCAAGATGAAATAACCTGAAGCTGGCGTGGTGGCTCACACCTGTAATCCCAGCACTTTGGGAGGCTGAGGCGGGTGGATCGCCTGAGGTCAGGAGTTTGAGACCAGCCTGACCAATATGGCGAAACCCCATCTCTACTAAAAATATAAAAATTAGCCGGGCATGGCGGCATGTGCTTATAATCCCAGCTACTCGGAGGCTGAGGCAGGGGAATCGCTTGAACCCGGAAGGTGGAGGTTGCAGTGAGCAGAGATCACTCTACTGCACTCCAGCCTGGGCGACAATCTGAATGCCAACCTACTGTTTTTTTCTGGATCTCATCTGTAGGCTTGGGCTCTGGGGCACTTCTCAGCTTACTAGCAGTTCTCTGCTTCTATTCCACTAAACTTGAATCTATCTTCGAAAATGGAAACTGGGCCAGGCATGGTGGCTCACACCTGTAATCTCAGCACTTTGGGAGGCAGAGGTGGGCAAATTGCTTGAGCTCAGAAGTTCGAGACCAGCCTGAGCAATGTGGTGAAACTCTGTCTCTACCAAAAATGCAAAAAATTAGCCAGGCATGGTGGTGCGCACCTGTGGTCCCAGCTACTTGGGAGCCTGGGGTGGGAGGATCACCTGGACTTGGGAGGTAGAGGTTGCAGTGAGCTGAGATTGTGAGACCCAGTCTCAAACAAAAGAAAAACAAGTGTCTCCATACCTATGTAATTGTATACACACATTCACCATGTCCTTTCATCCACTATTATTTACTGAAGGCCTATTATGTGCCAGGCCTCAAGAATAAGATGGTGAAGAAAAAAACCCTAGTCCAGGCACTCAGGGAGCCCTCAGGAACTTACAGGGTATTGGAGAAGACAAGTAAATAATTACCCAAGTAAGTATATGGTTACAAACTGAGAAGTGCCATAAAGGAAAAGCAGAAGGCATCATGAGAGCCTGTCACAGCCTGCACAATCCTTTGCTTGGATTATGCATAACATGCACAGCATCCAACCCTTCACATACAACTCTTTTTTTTTTTTTTTTTGAGACGGAGTCTCGCTCTGTCGCCCAGGCTGGAGCGCAGTGGCGCAATCAATCTCAGCTCACTGCCGGCTCTGCCTCCCAGGTTCACACCATTCTCTTGCCTCAGCCTCCCAAGTAGCTGGGACTACAGGTGCCCGCCACCACACCTGGCTAATTTTTTGTATTTTTAGTAGAGACAGGGTTTCACCGTGTTAGCCAGGATGGTCTGGATCTCCTGACCTTGCGATCCGCCCGCCTCAGCCTCCCAAAGTGCTGGGATTGCAGGCGTGAGCCACCACACCCAGCCCACATATGACTCTTTACTGTGCCCAAAGGCCACTGCTGACAGACTTGAGGGATTGAGTCTAGTCTCAGTCCTGCTACAAACTCACTGAGTGACCTTGAGCAAGTTTCCCTTCTCTGAGCCTGCTTCTTCTATAAAATGGAGAGTTAAGACTAGATCACATGTTCTTTTTTTTTTTTTTTTTTTTGAGACAGAGTCTCACTTTATTGCCCAGGCTGGAGTGCAGTGGTGCCATCTCAGCTCACTGCAACCTCCGCTTTCCACTTCAGGCGATTCTCTGGCCTCAGCCTCCCAAGCAGCTGGGATTACAAGCATGTGCCACCATGCCCAGCTAATTTTGTATTTTTAGTAGAGACTGGGTTTCACTATGTTGGCCAGACTGGTCTTGAACTCCTGACCTCAAGTGATCCACCCACCTCAGCCTTCCAAAGTGCTGGGATTACAGGCATGAGCCGCTGCACTCACTCTAGATCACAGGTTCTTAACTTAGGACCCTTAGATGAGCTAAAGGGATACAAAAATGCATGGGAATTCTTGCATTTTTTTTTTTCTTCTCGATAATGGGCCCACAGCTTTTATCAGATCTTTATGCTGACGACTCAAAGAAACCCAAGGACCCAAGGAGCAGATGGCTCTTTGATGATATAAGCAGGGAACACAGATGATAAAACAATGGACGCTATAAGTGAGTTTTTGCTTCTTGGACAACATATCCCTCCCCTTAACTTTGTCATGAGGGAGGAGAAGGCCTGATACTCCCCTATGGATGGTGAAATTTAGTCACCACATAATGGTGACCCAGAGAAAGGAGGAGAGGAACCTACCATTGGTGGGTCCCTCTGCAGGAGCAGAACACAGAATAAAGAAAGAGTGGGAACACACAAAGTCCGTGTCATCCTTTGTGCCATCTGCCTCATGGTGACCTGCGCTGGGTCCACTCCATCTCATTCCCCCATCATTCCTGGCTGGGGTATGGACACAAAAAAATATTTATCTATACTGGAGGCAAGGTTGGAATGTTGACACAAAGGAACTTTCATTAGAAACTAAAGGGAGGGGCTGTGCACGGTGGCTCACGCCTGGAACCAGCACTTTGGGATGCACAGGCAGGCAGATCACATGAGGTCAGGAGTTCGAGACCAGCCTGGCCACCATGGCGAAAACTCTGTCTCTACTAAAAATACAAAAATAAGCCGGGCATAGCAGCGCACGCCTGTAATCCCAGCTGTTCGGGAAGCTGACGCAGGAGAATTGCTTGAACCCAGGAAGCGGAGGCTGCAGTAAAGCCGAGATCTGGCCACTGCACTCTAGCCTGGGCGAAAGAGAGAGATTCCATCTCAAAAAAAAAAAAAAGAAGAAGAAGAAGAAAAAAAGTAAAGGGAGCCCCCTCAAAAGAAAGCACTTTGAGATTAACTAAAAAGTGTAAATTAGAAATCTGTGATTCAACTTGTAAGAATGTCAGCTAAAAAACAGCTTGCTTGGCACAGTCTTTGGGACATCAGTGTCCTGTCCTTCCTTCCTTGTCTCCTCTCAGGCTGTGTGGGAGGGAGATTCATGTGGGGGCCTGAGGTTCGGTGGGTTTCCAACCATTCCAGAGCCTATGTCTCAGTCTCATGCCAAGGTATGGCCAACTATGGAAAAGAAAGCCACTTTCTTGGGGATCTAAAAGGCTGCAGGTGCATGAGTTAGGGGTTGTGTAGTATTTGTAGGTGGGAGGGACAAAAGGCAGAGACGGCAGCCTGTGCATAGCCATTGTGTTTTATTAGATCTGGTATAGTTCTTATTTTACAAAATATATAGAAGAGCCCAAAATGCAAAGCAGTCAACAGTCTTCTGATGGGGAAGGGGGCTCTCTGGGGGCCCTCCCCTCAGATTCTGGCTGACTGGGAGGGTAAGCTGAATGGGACGAGCAGGTGTGCTAAGGGATGGCAGCATGGCTGGGGTGCTGACAATGGGGTTGGAACCTGGGTCCTATGGTCCCTGCCCTCTGAGTGTGCTAAGGGGCATCTCTGGGTAGATTGAGTAGAGCAAGAGGAGACTCTAGGGAACTGAGGAGGTTATCTGGGGGGTTGGGGAGAGCCCGGGTTGATTGAAGATCCTAGTGAATGCCCCCACACTGGGTTCAGATGCTATGCCTGCCTCCCTCCTTCCCTCTCCCTTCTAAGGCATCCACTGTGGGGAGTGATAGGCCCCAAGTTCAGGAAGGTCCCAAGTCTATAGAGAACATGGGAAACAAAAACTCAAGTCACAGCCCTCAAAACAGGGGCGATGAGCAGGGAGGGTGGGATGAAACTTTGGCAGGCATCAGCCAGGACATCTCCTATCCACATTCCCCTGCCACAACCACCACCAACACATGCAGGAAGGAAGGAGAGGAAGCAATGCCAGGGATATGCCAGATATCTAGCCCCAGGCTCTCCATGGATATCGAGGAGGGTATGGAAAATATCTGGGGCATTTCCAAGGAGACAAGGTCTTCTGCAAAGCCTGGAAACTTATATTTTGATGGCCTGTGGTAGCAGACCTGTGGAACTTGGAGCTATAACTTGGTATGCCTGAGCAATCACATTGTGTCCAGGCCTTTCTATTCTCAACCCCAGCCACCTCCTAGGACCTATCCATTGACTCAGGCCCAAGATTTCTCCCCTATACATTCTTGTCCCCCTCCCACAGGGCTCTCAAAGGCTGGTCTGAGAAGCCAGCCAGTGCCAAGAATGGAGCATTCTCTCTGAGAAGGGAGTTTTAGGGGAAATGTTTATGAAGTCAGGGATGGGGGAAGCACCATAGCAGGAGACATCTGTCTAGTGTGTTTCTAGAGTGGGGGTAGGAGGTGGGGAACCACTCAGTTCCTATAGGAGGGGCACTCTCAACACTGGGTGTCAGGCAGGAAGCGGGTGAGAGCTGGTGGGAGTTGGGAACACCCCCCAAGATGCACTCTGCCCACTCTCTGGCCCCTTCAGCTCCAGAGATCTGGACTACTAAATCCCCAAGCTCTTGGATCCCTCCAGCCCCCAGGGAGGCCTAGGACAAGGATAGACCTGGGAAGAGAAGGGTGAGGTCCACCTGGACTAGGGTTAGAGCATGGTCCCCCCAGGAAACACTGACCCCCTCTCCTGGGGGCTAGATGACATTGTCAAAGAGCTGCATGGACCTCATGATGTTCTCATCCTGTGGCCATGGTGTGAGCGAGGCAGATTGAAGAGACAGAAAGAGAAGGAGCTTATCAGAGACAGGGAGAGGGACACTGAGTCACAGATGGGGACATTCAAAGGCACAGAGGAAGGAGATGCCCAGAGAGACCTGAGGTAGGGAAGGGGTAAGCCTCCCACAAAGGAATAGGATTGAAATGTGGGGGTGAGATGGGGAGGTGGTATTCTGCCCAAAGAAGTTTTTCCCTACATTACTAAATCAGGCCTGAGTCCAGGTCAGGGTAATGTCGAGGGCAGGGAGCTGTACCTTTTGACAAGACTCAATGAATTCCTCAATGGTCACCACGCCATCCTTGTTTCTGTCCATCTTCTGCAAGAAGGTGGTCAGGCAGGGAGAACAGGAGGGATGGGCAAGAGAGGCAGACAGAAGTCAGGTGAGTTCCCTGCTGGTTCTTGGTCTCCTTCTCTTCACTCCAGGGCCCTCCAGCCTACCCAGTCCCAAGTACCTGGAAGAAGTTCTCCACATGTTCCCTTGGGGCCTCCTCCCGGAGTGCAGGGTATGTGTACTTGCCCATCATGTCGTAGATGGACTTCATGATGTCAAGCATTTCCTGTTAGGCCAAGAGACAAGAGGATGCTTCCTCAGAGCCTCCAGCCTCCCTTGATCCCTTGCTTGTGGGCATATATGGGTCATATTTCCCTCCCATCACCCTCTGCACACCACCCCCATCAGTGCCACAGCCCCCCAGCCCTTCAGTTGCCCTGCACCTCCTTGGTGATGCAGCCGTCCTTGTTGAGGTCATACAAGTTGAAGGCCCAATTAAGCCTGTCATCTACAGTTCCCCGAAGAATCACGGACAAACCAGCCACAAAGTCCTGGGAAGGAGGCAGGAGGGAGCTGTGTCTTCAGGTACTCTTCACCCAACCCCTTCCCTGGGTTTGGCCTGGAGATCCTGGCCCTGAAGTCCAGGAAACAGGCTTCCCTGGCCCACCTCGCCCAGCTCACCTCAAAACTGACCGAGCCATCATGGTTGGTGTCAAAGGCATTGAAGAGAAAAGTGGCATAGGTGCTGGAGTCTGCAGGGTGAGTGTGGAGAAGTTGGCTTCCACACAGGAGAGGACTTCCTCCTTCTATGGAGCTCCCCATACCCCCCATCACCTTGGCATTCCCAGCCCCTCCAGAATCCCTCCCTCCCTCAGCCTAGAGAAGGACAGCTGCTGCCCTTTGCGCCTTGTCCCCTCACCTCCTTGAGGAAAGAACTGGGAGTAAATTTGCTTGAAGTTCTCCTCATTGACAATTCCGCTCGGACATTCCTGGAAGGAGAGAGGGCACCAGGCTGAGGGCAGAGACAAAATCCCCTTCTATTCACCACCCCCACCCTCCATGGCCCAAGACTCCCAGGGAGGGGGATAATCTTCAAGCCTCCAGAGGACTCACCACGTGGCTCATGTGATGGGAGGCAAGACTTCTTTCCCAGTGCACAAATAAAAAACATGGAACGAAACTGACAGTCTACAGGCGCCGCTTCCGTTCCGGCCCCGCCCCAGAACCTCCAGCTAGAAGTTCAGTCTCAGGGCCTTGCCTCCCTTCCACCCAGCACCTCAAGCATCCAAGCCATGCTTTCTGGGAAGCTGTGGACCGGCTTGGGTCCTCCTGTTCCCACCCTGAGTTTGGCCTCGCCTTGCACTCACGTTCTTGAAGCCCCGGTACAGGACCTGCAACTCCTTGCGCGTGAATTTGGTTTGCTCCTGCAGCTGCTCCAGACCCTCAGGCCGGTGACACACGGTGGACAATTCAAATTCATCCTCCACGCTGTCTGCGGAGCGGTGAGGACAGCTGCGCCTCAGGCCCGGCCTCCGCGACCCATCTTCAAATCACTGACCCATTCACCCTCTCCCCGCCCCCGGTCCCATCCGATGCTAGAGACCAGGCTGCCAGTTCCCTAGGCCCCGAGCCGAGAACACTGAGGCAAGGAGAAAAGATGCTGGCTATCTTCGAGGTCTATCAGCAGTTCAAGGCCTGGCCTGGCCCCAGAGCCGGGGATCCGACTCAGTGCTCGCCCCTGGGCCCTGGATCCCTCTTTGGAGGGGAAGGCCCCCAGCTGCATCTTCGTTTCAGAAAGGAAGGAGTGGGAAAAGCGCGTTCAAGAGGGGGCGTCTAAGGGTCGGAGCTCCGGGTCTTCGAGGACCAACTCAGATCCGCCCAGCCCCGGCCTTGCCCCGCCCAACCCCCTCCCCTCGCCCAGCCCAGCCCCATCTATCCCAGCCATGCCTAAGCCATGCCCCGCCCAGCTCAGCCAACCTACATCCAGACCCCACCCCCGACCCCAACTCAGTCCCGCCCCGGCCCCAATATCCAGCCCCCAGGCAAGAGCCCCCCACCCCAAGATGGCAAAGCCGCCCTGCCCCGCCCCGCCCCGCCCCCACAAGGAGCGTAAGTCACCTGGGTCCAGCAGGCGGGGTCTGTGGGGGCGGAGGGAGGCTGGGGCGGCTAATGCTGAAGGGAGCGAACTGTCACCGAGAAAGCGGAAGACCCGGCCAACTGCAGACACACACCTGGCCCCTCACACTCAGAGCAAACCTCACACCCTAGCCCGCGCGAAGGCACACCCAACCAGCACAGACACACACGAAACGGACCCATGCACACAAGCTTGCGGGACTCACGCCTGTCCTTTTCCGACCCACGTGTGGGACCCATCTATGTTCAACACAACAGCACGCTCAAATAACTACAAGGCGGGCCTTTATGGTTTGCAAAATGCAGTATGATCCTACGAGGTAGGCAAGGCCCAACTAAGGAAATGGAGACCTAGAGACAAAGCGAGGTCACTCAACTCGAGATCACTCAGCAGGGGACCAGGCTGGGATAGAAAACCCAAATACCCTGGTGTCTGAAGGAGGGCAGGCGCCATCCTCTACACCTGTCACCATCCTGTCGGGGCATAGGCAACACACATCAGAGTTCCAAAATACAGTGGGGAAGGGGGCGGCCGCACGGAGTTGAAGACACTAACCCAGCTAAGCCACATACGGACCCTCACGGTCGCCTGGTCTCGCCACAGCTACACAGGCTCAGGCCTCAGCCCGGTCACACTGGTCACACCCACACTCTCGGGTCCCACAGCTTTGCGGGAGCAGTGACACCCACACACGCTCGGGCCCCGCCCCCAACTGACCACGCCCACACACGCTAGCTTCAGTCGCATATGAGCACGGCAGCCACGCCCCCTTATGCTGCAGCCCAGCCAGCACCCACCCCCCGCCCCCACCACGCTGGTCATGCGCCCCCCAACACACACACACACACACACACACACGCAGGCCTGGGGCACCCCCCTCCTCCACACGCAGGACTGGGGCACGTCTCCTCCTCAACACACACGCGGGCCTGGGGCATGCCCTCCACACACACACACAGGCCTGGAGCACGCTCACACACACGCACACACACGCAGGCCTGGAGCACGCGCGCACACACACGCAGGCCTGTGGCATGCCCCACCCCCACACACGCAGACCTGGGGCACGCCCTCCCCCCCACATACACACATGCAGGCCTGGAGAACGCGCACACACGCAGGCCTGGGGCACACGTGCACACACACGCGTAGGCCTGGGGCACGCGCGCGCGCACACGCACACACACGCACGCACACATCGGGCCCCGCCCCCGGAAGCACATGAGAGGCACTTGCTTTCACTGACTGAGGGCAGGGCTTGGGGCCCGCAGCAAGGCAGCAGCTTGAGGAATCGCTGCTTCAGCGCTTTTTTAGTGGGCCCTGGAGGGTGGCCTGGGAAGAGAGAAGACCCCGGGAAGGCGCATTAACTCCCATTGTCCCTCTGTTCCCTGTCCCCTCCCCACCAGTCACAAATCAACCCCATCTGGGGATGGGGCTGGGGGAGGAATTAAGGGGGAGGAAAGGAATGGCAAGGGTGGTTGGAATTGGGTTAGGGGAGCCCAGTGGGTCCATAGAGGTGAGGCTTAGGCACTTTGTTTAATGGGACGTGGCGGATGACAGCAAGGCAGCAAGGATGAGGTGGCAGTGGCCTCAGTGTCTTTGCTGACCTAGTACCCTTGGCTCAAGTGCCATGGCTGGACCTCTTAGGATGATGTCCAACTCAAGGATTGCCTGGGTAAGAACACCTCTCTCATACACATACCTATAGTGACAGGGCGTGTATAGTGACATGTAGAGCAATACATCACAGTCATGGGTGCCAGTGACAGCTTGAAATCCAGTAATTCACACCTGATGGTCTAATATGTATGCTCCAACACACACACACACACACACACACACACACACTATGAACTGCTACTCCTTAACAAACAAATACAAATGTGACCTAAGTAAAACAGGGTGCACACACATGGAGACCCATACAGGCCATCTCACATACAGCATGATCAAACCACACAAGAACACACAATGCCTCTGGGACATCACGACCCGTGAGTCTACAAAGAACACTATGACATTGTGACCTTATAACATGATACATATCAAGGTTGTCATGACACTTACCCATATCACACTGTGCCCTGGGTCCCCATGGCATCCAGATATCTAAGGCTTACCTCAATACCTCACCCACAGAGGCTTCATTTTTCCTGGGTACACCCACTTTTCTTTCCTATAACCCCTCCTCATTCCAAGGCGCCCAGAATCTTTCTGCCAAAGGGCAGGGTTCCTCATCAGCTAACTCATCTACCCTAAACTGCGGCCCCTTCACAGTCTTTTCCAGTATGCTTGCTCTTTGAGGGTGAAATAATAGTAAACTTTGAGGCAATAAGAGATCTTGGAGGGGAGTATTCTGGTCTATTGTGGGGCTATCCAGGGCCCACTGATCATGGCTCCCCTTCCCTTCTTCTCCCCTTATTTCTGCACATTTTCTACAGCTCTAATTGCACCCCCAGAGGACCCTCAGTGTTACTCTGTGTGTGTGTGTGTGTTTATCTGTGTGTCTGTGTGTCTCCCAGCTGCACTGCATCCAGATTCCTAGGTCAGAGCCCACTGGATCTGACACAGTGGCTAAAGCCGGCCTCAGTCCATTCCTGGAGGGGTCCAACTTCCTTTAAAGGTTACTCCCTCTCCATATACCCCACCCTCCCAATCCAGGCTTCACCCTCCAGACCAGGCCCCCTTACCAGGAGGTAGCTGGGTGAGTAACCACCTCCTCTACTTCAACACATCCTTACCTCCCTCCCACCCCAGAAGCCATGGAGAGGTGGGAGGGAGGTGGTGGGCCAGGCAGGGGGATCGATGGTGGCCTGGCCTCCGGCCCAGGGCTCCATTAGCCTGGACTCTGGTTTCCCGAAGCCGGATTGCGCCTGGAGCCTCCAATGGTGTAGTCGCCCAACTCGGGGTGGCTCTCCTGCCCCCCACCCCAGCCCCCTATCTGTTTCCAAGCCTCTGTCTCCTCTAAAGGTGAGAAGAGAATGGCTGCCTTCAGCCCAAAGCGCCTGGGATTCCCAGATGCCCCCTCTTTCCCCTTTCCCATCTAAAATGAATGGCAAGTTAGAACTCAATCAATTTCACCTTTTCCAGATTGAATGAGAACAAGCTCAGCCCAGCTGTCCCAGTTCATCTAGGTCCAGCTCCCTGTTCCCCACTCCACCCTAATAAATGCAGCAGAGGATGGAGGGTGAGCTAAGAGTTTTCTGCTCTTACTGAACCCTAGAGCAGGCAATTCATGGACCTTCTCTTGTTCCCAGCTTCCTTCATATTTTTCCAGTTCTTCCAGGTATCTACCCTGCAGTCCTCCGTCATGGTTCTAGTCTGTCTTCCTGTCCCTGGTGGCACTGGGGAACAGCAATGCTATGGAGTTACACAGTTCTAGCTGTGAAGAGGAGGGGGAGGTCAAAACTCCCAAGGGGGAGGCAGAAGTGCTCTCCTCTCCACCCCAATATTACTCTCCCTACTGACTTTCAGGTGGGGTGGGGAGGGGAGTTGATTTTCCACTCCCAATGTCTAGGCCCTAGAGACCATTCTGTACTTGGATCCTGATAGGAGCCTGGAGAGGCAAGGGGGCTTGGGAAGTAGGGTCCCTGATCTGATCCACTCCTCATCCCCAATCAGAGCTGGGCTATAAATGTCTCCTTCACAATGTTCACACTCTTCCCTCCAGAACCCACCTCCTCCCAAGCCTTGGGTATGGAGCTGGTATATCCTCAGGAAACTCTGGAAACAGCCACATGCACAACCTGATACCCAAACAGGCTCAGCCACACACTGTGCCACTCAGGCCTGGCCACATCCACCTTCTCACAAAGCCACATGCCCTGTCACTCTCACACATACAGTCACATCCCTGTTCCATACGCAGGCTCACAGTTACACACTTTGTACTCTCTCACATACAGGAACACAAAGTCACACCCTGTGTCTCTCACACACTGAGCCCACACACCCCATAAGCTACACTGCATGGATGGAGGTGTGGAGAAGATGCACAGGCACCATGGTGGGTCCCTGATTCCAAAAAGGACCCCCCAGAAATCTGGTGTTATCTCAGGATCCCTAGAACCTCTCTCCTCTACTCCAGACACTCCTTCCCTATCTCCAGACCCCTCCTGGTATCCCCCAGGATCCCCTCACCTCCTCATCTCCACACCCCAGTCCTCCCACACTGCACCCCTCATCACCTCCTGACACCTTGTCCCCCAGATTCCCTCCTCCCTCCGTATCTACTCCTCGAGGCCTCCTCTTCACCTCTCCCAGATGTCATATCCCCCAAGCACCCCTACTCACTTCCCAGATCCCTGTCTCATCACTCACCTGCTCATCCCTGCCCCCAGTCATGAAAACAGACA